GCACAGCAATTCGCAGATTTAGCACGAGTATACCCTGGTTGAGACGTACATACACAAACACTACGGTTCACTCCAAGAGGATCATAAATCTTTGATGTCAGCACGCACATTTTGAGATGGACTGTTTTTCTGACCCATTACTTCCTCCCTCATGTATCACTCGGCGTTCATTCCGACTCTCAATACTTATAAATGCGAGCTCATGTACACCTCTACCTTGGAAGTGCAGCAATCTCCTTCAGACTTCATCTTGAATGTCTTGAGGCGTCGCCCACTTCGTGTCACTATGTCTCTGCGAGTGCGCAAGTAACCCAGTCCAGTGCTCACCTCCCTTACTGACATTAGTCCTGGTCTTAGAGCACTTAGCCAACCTCGAAAGTGCAGTCCCATACCCTACTGCTCGCCTTCTGCTTACAGCTGATAACTCAGAGAACTTCAACGTACTGTACCACAGGGCGGAGAAACAACATAACACCAGGCTTGGTACAGAACCATCACAACCATGCACAGTCTTCCTGATCGCTCCCCGATACAGATCATCTCTGCTAACATTCATGACGTAGCGTTACAATGTATGGAATGGAAATTTCAAGGCCCGAGCCGACCGACTGTCAAAAGTGTAGCGAGTCCAGCGGCCAGCCTCGCCTTGTGGGGAACCGGGCCGGCTCCACTCAGCCACGGGCTGTACGAATCTGTAAGCACTAATCCGATTAATCACTAAACCTTCTGGTTTTGAAAGTGAACGTTGCACACTTCTGCTCGATCTCTCTCCTTTCACCCCTCCAATCCTCAATCGCAACAATGGGGATTCTCAATCTTTTTCGCAAGGCAAAGCCCCCTCAGCCTGTAACAGTACCGACCGACACCATCGTCCCACTCTGCTTCTGGGATGGCCGGCCATATCAACAAAATATCTGTCTAAATGTCTCTTACCGCTTCGATGACGTGCTCGATATAAAGACACTTGATCAATCCTTGATGCGACTACTGCAGCGCGGAGATTGGCACAAGCTAGGTGCACGATTACGACGAAATGTATGTACCGTACCTTTCCTCTGAAGAAGAGATTATCTAAGCTGAACGACTCCCAGAATGCCGGGCAGCTTGAATATCATATCCCGCGGGAATACACCCCCCAGCGACCAGGCTTCATCCTCACCTCTGAGAATTATCCGATGGAAGCTGCTGAGCATCCTCTAGCGTCAAAAGTTCCCACGGCAACAGATACACCCCGTGTACTCGGCCTAGCTGGTGAGGTCATCCCCCTTTATCGCCATGCGCAAGCGCCACAATGTCTAGATGATTTCATCTACACGGACCGACCCCAGCTCACCATCCATGTTGCCTCATTCACCGACACGACCATTTTGACGATTACCTTCCTGCACACCCTCATGGATGGAATGGGTATGTCCAGCTTCTTTGCAGCCTGGACAGCTGTACTCCGTGGCCAAGAAGACCAAGTGCCGACTTTCCTCGGATTGGACACGACTCCAATGCAAACTTTGAGCAGCACGACCTCTACGGAGCCCTTCTTACATCAAGGCCTCTTACTCAAAGGAATTCACTTGATTATCGGTACCATGTGTTTTCTCTGGGAGTATTTCTGGCAGGGCCCGGAAGAGCAGCGTATTCTCTGCATTCCCGGAGCCTTTGTCGACGGAATGCGAATTCAGGCGATCGAGGAACTCAAGACCACCATCGGAGATGCCGCTAGTTCCCAAGCTCCGTTCCTTAGCGAAAGTGATGTGCTCCTAGCGTGGTGGACCAAAGTGGCAATCAAAGCGCTGAGCCCGGCCCCAGACCGCTTGCTCGCGTTGATGAACATCTTCGACTTCCGCTCTCTTGTCCTGCCTCCAGAGCTGGCTGAACCCTCGAAAAACGTCGCCGTCATTGGCAACGCCACCTTTCAGGCTTACACCTTCCTCCGGGTCCGTGAAATCCTCGCCATGCCGATCAGCCAGCTGGCCGCGCAGATCCGCCACTCACTCGTTCAGCAGCGCACCAAGCCGCAGGTAGAAGCCCTGGCGGCGCTGATCCGAGCGGCCACAGAAGCGAATGGGGTTGATGCAACGCTCTTCGGCGACTACAACACGCTTCTCATGGCGTGGTCGAATTGGCACAAGGGCCGGCTCTTTGAGATCGACTTCTCGGCGGCAGTAACCTCGATTGGTGCGTCGACGGCAGAAGGGGAGTGGCGACGGACGAACTCGGTGGGACGACCTTCCTATATCGCCGTGAATGGATCTGTGAGCGGCCCCATGCCGACAAATATCGGGCCGATGATGGGTAAGGATGCGGCGGGGAATTGGTGGTTGACGTGGACTCTGCCCCGATGGGCATGGCCTGCGGTAGAAGAACAGGTGCATGGGGTAGGAGAAATGGAAACTTTTTAGCCTGATGAAGGTTGCTATAGAGGCAAGAAGAGGGACTGTTGGTCGGGATGTTATAGAGCTATATACGCCGAGCTGGAAGCAAATCTATATTATGATGTTGAGCTATGAGCTTAAGATCCTATGGCACCATCGCTGCTGCATTTATGGATTAAAGTCCGGATCTTTTGCCACCACAAGCTGCTCGGCCAAAATCATACAATCGGGTGCGTTTGGGCTTGTGGAACAACCGCGTCAGGACCCGGGGCTGCTGACTGAGGCCCTGAGGCCTCGTTGCCTGGGGCCGGCCGCTCCGCTGGCTCAAATAACCTTCCGGTAACTTAACCAGAATCATTCATTCTACAGTTCTTGCAACAATCTGCTAAGTTACATGTATGCACAACGTATAATCTGGACAGCCATCAAATTAAGCACAGAGGATAGTGTCTACAGACCGATGATTGGTTCGCATTCCCGCTCCAGATCGTCTCTTCTTTACCAAGCTAAAGAATAGATCAATTACAGGTCTCTTCTCTCGGAGCACATTCAAACGCTTCAGATATGGCGAGCCTGTTTTCCATCATACAAACGGTAAACCAAAGCCTCCTCGGGCTTCAACTGACTCTTGCAAAGCGACTCCCAGTCTCCTTCCAAGCCCTGTCCACCAACAACCCCTTTGCCCCAGACCATACGCAGATCAGGGGCAGCGGATTTCCGATTAACCAGCCAGTAATTCCAGCGCTCGTCCACTTCGTCATAGAACTTCCTGGGATCTACAACGCCCAGAGCAGCTTCCATGATGGATGAAGTGTTGAGCTAAACGATACCCAATTGGGCAGCGACAGTGCCCAGGCCGAAGAGCTCTTCAACTGTATAAACCTTTGATTACCTTCAGATTAGCCCTTTCGCTCTCGAAGATCAATGGAGGTGTGTCAATGGGGTGTTTCCCACGGTTCACCTTACCTTCTGCTGGAATCCCACGCCGATGAAAACAAGCCTGGCGGCCTTCAAGGCTGGATTATTCTGGATCAGACCCAACACCTGCTCGACCCCGCCATCTCGACGGCCAAAATTGACCAGGACGATCTTCGACGCCTGTTTGCTGGCCAGCCACTCCTCCACCGCCGCCCCAGCGATATCCGAGTAAGACATGGTCTTGGTGGGGAACGGCGGCGCGAGCTTTGTCGTGGCGTCCGCGATCGCGGCCGGCGCCGAGGTGACCTGAAGGAAAGCCAGGGGGCCCGTCCCAGCCGGCCTGCAGGCGAGATTGTGCGCGAACGAGCGACCCGTCTTCGTCGAAGCGCCCAGGCTGATGACGACGGCGTGGGAGAGGTCGGCGTCCTCGGCGGCGGTCCACTGCGCCTCCTTCCCCTCCTCCTTCGCTCCCCCCGGGAGACACGCCAGGACACGGATGCAGTGGCGGATGAGCCGCGGGGTACGGGGTGAAAACGTACTCGCTGAGGAGATACCCGCAGGTCCAGATCGTCCGCACGGCGCATTCCCAGCCCAGGGTCTCGGGGTCTTTAGCTGGGATTTTGTCGACCACGGAGGTGTACTGGTTGTACAGCCAGAACAGACCCCGGCGGTGCGGGGACACTTCCGTCCAGTGACCGTCGTGCGGTCGTCTGGGGGTCATTTGGAGGTCCACCGCGTGGCCGGACGCCGGCCAGTATCCGAAGATGGATGTGCCCGCCGGGAGGTTGGGGATTGTACTCTCGAGAACGGTCGCGTAGCCCCAGGCGGGCACGATCCCCCAGGCGGCTGGGTCGTTGTAGGGGGCCGGCGCGGTCCGGGGAACTGGGTATGTGTCCCACCACTTCCAGGCGGTGCCCAGCATGGCGTAGGTCAGGCTGAGGAGGTCAGGCCGATGAGGGAGGCGCGCACCCGGACGGAGGAGGGCGCAAGTGGCTCCGTCGGTTCGGGGAGCTGGAAGGTGGCACCTCATGGTGGGCGGGGTCCTGCTTGGAGATAACGTGAACATCCATGTTGGTGATGTCTATTGGGAGAATGAGTTGTTGGTTATTGAGGGTGCTTGGGGAACGGAACAGAGGTGGGGACCTCGAGGGATTATATACTCTAGAGGATGTATAGCCTTGCTGATGGGGCGGCTGAATCCTGTGGAGTGGTATGGATTAGTGTAGTTGGTGCTTATGGGTAGTGCTTGTCATGAGAACACTCATTTGTTGTTTCGTCTACAACTCAGGATCAGCGGGTGGTTCACGCAATGCAGTCTTTCTTCTAGAGTTAGGCACTGCATCACGCTGTTCCTACTAAATCAGCCAGTCTCTCCTAATTTTAACCCCGGGTATAGTACCTGTAGCTACTACTGTGTATTAATACTGTAATTTTTCATTGTCCTGTCCTCCGCCCCTGCTTGGCTGACTGATCGCAACACGATCCACTCTCCTCGGCTTCGGATGCTTCATTTGTATACGAGATTTCCAATCCATGACCATCCTGAATCATCACCCATAATTGCCGAGCTGTCGGAATAAAGACTAGATATACGAGTTTGACAGGCTGACATCTCAGTAGACGTATATTCATTATCCATGTCTTATACCGAACACCTCTAACTCTATGCTAACTACCAACAAGACCCAGCAAAACTGTCCCCAAAAGACCGAATCACCTCTGCGGCTCATCCAAAGTAAAATACAAACTCAAACATTCAGTAGAAACAGGGGTGCCCAGCTCCCCGAAGACCGAGACACTCACCACCTTCCGCCGTCCCAATTGCTCCCGATGCTGTGCGATGAACCAGCCGGTGGCGCTACCATTCGGGGTCCCCAGAATCGCCGTCCCTTCTTCACTACTACCAATGCTATCATCCTCCACGGGGAACGTCACCACGCGATCCCAGCCGCCCAGCGACTGGCCCGCCCTCGCCAGCGCCCGCCTGACCACCTGTTTGGTGAGTGGGTTGCTGACCCCAGCGTGGAAGATATAGCGGATGGAATCGACTTGCACGCCCGCCCGCTCGGCGAGGCGCGTCCACATCAGAAAAGTGACGTCGGACCACTGTTTGAGATGGATGAGCCACGACGGGGCCAGTCGGGAGTTTATGAGCCCTGCGCCTTCTTCCTGGAACTCTCCGGCTCCCATCCTCGAGACCCCCATCGGACTCATCAGATTATCGGCGATGATGATGCCGCTGGCCGTGTTGTAGAGGTTACTGTACCACGCTCCGGTTGCCTATCGCGAAACGCCATCACACGCAGAACCCTGCAGGTCAGCGATCAAGGCGACCCTCTGTTTTTTTTTATCTGATAAATAGATAGATAGGTGGGCGAGAGAGACGCGCACGCAGGGAAGGAAGGAATAAGAGCCCTTACAGGATAGGTCATCCCATCGATCACGGTGGGTTCCGTGTTGGACATACACACAAACACGTTATCCTCGATGCGGGCATGGAGGTCCCGCGCGAACAGTCGAGCAAATCCCTCCTCGTCGTACATCGCCTGGGCATACTCGGGCGTCCAGTTCCAGAGCTCCAGAGCGCTGGGCTCGGTCCAGGGACTGGCGGCGGGGATGCGGCGGTGCGGCGAGAGGGTGTCCAGGTAGGCTTGGAGCTCCGCGGTCGTGGGCATGGAGAACATGCGCACGAACGCGCGGCCTTTGGCTGCTGCGATGTCCCAGGCCGTCTCGTCGCTGTCGATTTCGTGCTCGAGGGTCAGGATCCGACGGGTTGAGTGAGAGGTCTGGTGCTGCTGTCGCTGATCATGATGGTGATGGTGTCGCAGGTATGAATAGATATTCGGGAGGGAAAGTCCGTATATGGAGAGGAGGGCCTTCAGCTGGGCTTCGTAGTGGGCTAGATATCTCGACATTTTGAGGAATAATATGTTGTGTATGATCTAAGTGAAGGAGTGAGTGAGTGAGTGTATGTGAGTTTAATGGTAAGTTCTTCGTCGGTGGGAAGGAATTCCATATTCAGGGAAAGCATTGAGGCAGGCACAGCCCAGAACTGTAAGGGAGGTAGGGACTGGACTGTATTGTACTTGCTCTATTATGTTACTGTGCTAGGTACGGTACTTGAGTAAATAGTATAGTATACGGTCAAGCGGCCCGGGGCAACGAACGACCCAGTACACTCACCACGTGGACGTATCTACACATCTGGGTAACACTGATACCTCCCATCATTCCGGTCCCAACCCACCCCCTGATGCACCGTGAACATGTTTTCTGGGTCTACCTCTTTTTTGATGCGAAGGAGACGCTCATAGTTTGCCTTGCCCCAGAACGCACCGATGGGGTCCGGCTCAAACGGGTCGGCTTCGTTTTGATAAGCACCGGAATCGGGCGTGAATTCCCGCAGAGGATCCATGGCGTGGGAAACACTCTGCCAGACTTGTCGTATGAGCTCTGGGTCTCTCATGCTGCTGTCAATGGCACGTATGTGGAGGAGATGCCAAAGCCCACTGCGCCATGCTGGCGTGACTGATGATGCCCCGGGTCCGAAGGGTTCATCCTCCTTTGGTAGATTCTGCGAATATAGCACTGGCGCGACGAGAAGAACCGCTACTTGAGGTGCAGAGGGTGTTGGTAGAGTATCGTTGAGGACCACCAGGTGGGTTATAAGCTCAGCCAGTTGAGCCTGACTCGTTGTGTTCTGGAACGACGTGCGTGGGATGATCCGCGACGAGACGGCGGTGGACACCTTCGACATTTGTACGAGAGGGTTCGAGGTGACGGGTTCCATGAAGTCGAGGAACCCGGCAACCGAGGAGAGGGTTGCGCTCGAGGTATTGAACTGGCGAGCAAAGTCCAGCACCGGCTGCACGGACGCCAACGCGGCCGAATGGTCCAGCAGAGCTGTGGCTATGATCAAAGCGTAATCTGTTGAATCCGGAATCAGGGATCCACCCCATCCCTCCGCAGCCCATCGCTCGGCATTCGCAATTATCAAGGTTGTGAAATCTTTTGCGGCGGAAGAGTAGGGATCCAACCCGGTCAAGGAAACATTCAAGACTTCCATTGGTCGATCCGGATGGACGAGGGTGCTCATCTCCATCACGACGCCGAAGGTCCCGCCGCCGCCACCGCGCAGCGCGAAGAACAGATCAGGATTCTGACATCGAGTCGCAGTGGCATATGTCCCGTTGGCTAGTACGACTTTGATTTCTTGGACGTTGTCGACCCCGAGACCTGGCTCACTGTCAACTCCCATGCGCGCAACAGAGCTGCAGATGAACGTGCGAGGGTCTCACTCACCAAGTTCATTAGCCATCAGCCCATGCCCACCACCAGTAATCCACCCCCCCGCGGCTCCGACACTATCGCAACCTCCTCCCACGACCCGATATCCCCGTGCATTCACAAAGTTATAGATGCCTTTGAACTGTTGTCCCGCCCCGAACTTGATCACATTTCCCGTCGGGGCCGAACAGCCTTCTGGAGTGAAGTTTTTCAGGAGCTGGATGGGGGGTTGATATGGATGCGTCCTAAGAACCAGTCAACATTCCCCTATCTCAGGGACAGCAAAGGAAAAGAAAAGACACACCACAGCGCAAGAGAATCCGGCGCTGAGCTCCGACCCTTGTAATCATGACCGGTGTTCTTGATGACGAGTCGGAGTCCGTGAAATCTGGTGAAGTTGAGAGTGGCTTGAACGTCCTCTATTCCTCGCACCTCCACGTATCGCGGAGAAACACTGCCTTGCTCGCAAGTAGTATTGGGTGGTAGAGACGAAGGGATGGGGCATGATGCGCCGGTGGCTTGGCAGGTGGACCAGACGGACTATTTTCCACACCTTAGCAAAGTACAAATGATCGGCTGTGAATGCGTAGTTGTGGTGTCTGACGTTGTGATACCAAGGAAACTCGTTCGACGCCAGAGTCGAGTTGAGAAGAAGCTCTTGCTCAGCGGTGCACTGCGCTGCATCTAGTGGTTGGGTTGGATCATGACTGGATGGGTAGCACGGGCTCATCATCGGGGCGCCTTCGTGGAGCCGTCCGCCGACAGTCGCGTTCAATGCGTTCCAGGTTGCGGCGCTGATACTTGATAATGAAGCCCATGTTTGCGGATTCGATGACTGTGCCCAGTGGGCGAGTAAAGGAATGGCAAGAAGGAGAGAAAAGAAGCCTTGTCTCGCCATGCTTAGTTATAACCACCAGTTATGTACAGTATGTTACAATCTGAATTCGCAACTTGCTATTTCCCCATTGACACATGCTGAGAAAGTGAGAAAGTATACATGGGACATCGAGTGACTTATATATTCTCTTCTGGTATAGAACACAGTTTGACCCTTACATGAGACGCAAACCTAGATTTAGGCGATGGATTGGTGTGTGGGCTTATATCAATCGAAGTACCCCAAAGCAGCAAAAGAAAGTCCAATAAGATGACGTCGAAGTGCATGGAGATGGTCAGCTGAGTCTTATGTAGCAGGAACGTACATATGACAGGGAGACCTTGATAGCCACAAACAACTGATGTCAGGAAAAAGCACGGTGTGTTTGGTGAAAGTCAGCTTGAAGCCCCAACTAATCAGCCCGCGACAACAAGCCATCTCATGCAGAAGATGACAAGCATGGACATATCTTTCACTGCATACTTCAGGTAACGGCCGTGGGAGGTTTACTCGGCCAGCTGTCATTCTGACTGTGTTGGTCTGCTATGCCAGACCGAGCGACTTGGTGGTCGCGTCCTTGGGCTTCGGTAGCTCAATCGATGGCTCTTGCACCCAATAAATAAACTGCAGGCTCTACGGCGCGATCAGAAGTTCGGCTATTTTCGCCTCAACTCTCAATTCGAACTGCTCTGAGCAGTCGTAGATGCAGCTTCTCAGACTCTGGCAGTAGAGGCAAGCCGTCCGCAATGCCTAGCTCGTAACCGAGTAACAAGCCGGCGTGCAGCCAGGGCCGCAATATGCCAACCAGCAATCTGAGTCCAGACCGTAGAGAAACCTTTATTCAGGCTGGATATACATGGCATTCCTCTTCTCGAGGCGGTGCTATTGGCGGTTCCACTGGAAGCAGGCAGCGCTAGGTTGGCTGAAGTGTTGTCAGTCCTTTGACTCGTATCTGCTGACTCGGACTGCGACTCAGAGATCTTGATTGTAATGTCCATCCAGGATAGAGCTTCATAGCTATGCTCTTTTATCTCTTCCTGGAGCAGGCTGCCACGCAGTACATACACAGTACCTCGATATCCGACTTGTAAGGGGGCGCGCTTTTTTGGAGCTCAGAAACTCGTCTCTCTGTGTTGGTGGTATCTGCGAATCAAGTACTCAGGATCACTGGCAGTAGCTGGGACCTTCACGGTCAAAAGATGTGTAGAGGCGATGGGCAGAGACGCGGCAATGTCCTTCTGTATCGCGAAGGATGCGGCATGCACCGTGTCGAGGGCCTACCGTGTCGAGGGCCTACCGTGTCGAGGGCCTACCGTGTCGAGGGCCTACCGTGTCGAGGGCCTACCATGTCGAAGGTTTTCCGTGTATCTGAATCGCCCATTTGCAACGAGGTAGTTGTGCCACATCTCAAGGTATACCAGGCTCGCTGTTGCATGTCAAGTCAAATTGCCGGTTACTGTGCTGAGTGAGGACAGCGCGAGTCACTTCGGAATACAAACTATCGTATTAGGAGCAAACCAGGAATCTTTTGCGCACACACTGACCCGGAAACACTGAAATGCCAGGGACTTCCTTGAGGGCAATGGAGGAATTTTGGCACGCCGAGTTCCATGGAAACTACGTCATCACGCCATACTTTCCGTTTCGCTCCTCCGAGTACTTCTCTTCTTTAGATCAATCATGTTCATTTCAGCTTCTCAATCATGATGTTTCCAAGAATCTCATCCTATGATCCAGTCGATAAGCAACCAGCTTCTTGTAATTTCAATATATCTCCACAATATCTCAACAACAAAGTTCGTGCAATGGCTTTACCAAGCTTAAACTTCCGCTGCGCGCTTGTTACCGGCGGCGGCGGAGGCATCGGAAAAGCGCTCTCCTCCTACCTCATCTCGCAGGGCAAAAAAGTCATTATCGCCGGCCGCACCAAGTCCAAGCTCAAGGAGTCCGCTCGCGAGATTGGCGCTGCAGCCTACTACGTGCTAGATACGGGTCTCGTCGACCAATTTCCTTCGTTCATCGCCATCCGAGCACCCTGATCTGGACTGCCTGGTCAACAATGCGGGTGTGCAGCGGCCGCTGAAGCTTGTGGAAGAGGAGCCGCAAGAAATTCTCGCGCGAGCAGATCAAGAGATCGATATCAATATCCGTGGCCCCATGCATCTCACGCTGGGGTTGCTGAAGCATTTCAAGAACAAGCCTGACGGTGCTCTCATCGTCAATGTCTCTTCCGTGCTCGGGTTCGTGCCCTTTGCAGTGATCAATCCCGTCTACGGCGGATCGAAAGCATGGCTCCATTTCTGGAGCATGAATCTTCGGACGCAGCTGTCTAAAAGCGGGTTTGAGAAGGTGCGAGTGGTGGAGATTGTTCCTCCTTCGGTAGCAACGGACCTCCACCGCGAACGGGATGACCCGGATGACAATAAAAAGGACCAGAACCCCAGTGTTCTGTCGGTGGAAGAGTTCATGGAGGAAGTGAGTGCGAAGTTGGAGCGTGGCGACGAGGCAATTGCACCAGGCATGAGTGCCGATATTGTGCGGCGGTGGTATGAGCAGTACGAAGGCTTCTGCAATGAGAACGCTGCCTGAGGAATGGCTTGACTTACGGCTGGACGCATCTTCAGGGAAAGGTCTCTTTTTAATAGGTGCAAACAGCCATTGCGAAGAGGACCTTCACAGGTATAATTGACAATCAATGACAAGAGATGTCAATTAGTCTCGATTTGCGAATTCACCCTTGAGAAGTGGCGAGACAATCCCTTCTGGCGCCCATACTTCATTTGGCGATGATTCAGATATCCCGCTCGATTCTTCACAGAAGAGGGCACTGTCGTACAATAGTCAAACGCGGAAGAGACAGGTCACACAGCACACACGATGCTGGAGATTCTGCTGACAAACAACACCTCCACCGGGACTCGTGGATTGTTGTGCAGACCACCAGCTTCTATCAGGTGCACCAGGGACAGCTACCCATCCAAATCGCGTTCGAAGTTCCAGAGATAAAGACGCAAGCCGGCCACAGCTGCAATTCCTAGAGGTATGCAGTAACTATGTAGCGATCGACCAGAGGGGCATTGTTGAGCAGGCCATTGAGCAGGCTGCCGCGGAATTCTTATCGCGCCTTCACCTTTCTGTCCTTATACAGACAGCATTGATACAAGCCTGACTAGGCAATTGGCCATTGCACCTGAGCTTCTTCTTTGCCAGGAATTACATATATGTACTTGTGACCCGGTCGGGAGGCATACTGTGCTGCTGCGCTAAGCGTGCACTGACCTTAGCATTTGGCACAGGAAATTATTGTTTGCTTCATTACGCGTCAATCGAGGGTAGACACTGTAGTAAGACATGACTATGTTTCCCTCTATACAGTGAGTTAGCCACGGAGAAAGAATGAATGCTGGGACATTTGAAGAAGTCGATTGCGGCAAGTTGGCCGACCTCGCCGCCTTCCGCCGTCGGAAATAATGATTGAGGCAGCTCCGGCGGCCCACTTGCTGCTGCTGCTGTCTGCCATGGCCTTTCTACGAACACTTCATTCAATTTCACTACACACTCGGAGGCAGCTCTACCAAAAGCCTCTTTTCCCTGTTCAAGCTCTTCGAGCCCGAAACCATACAATGCCCTTGACACGCTCCACCGATCCCCTGGTGTGGATCGACTGCGAGGTTCGGGAACCTTCTTTGCAGCCTGTCCTGCGTTGTCTTGAAGCCACTAGCCTCAACCGCTGACGCACCCTGTCTTCTTGACGGACACTTCTAGATGACCGGCCTGGACCCGGAAACCGATCAAATCCTCCAGATCTGCTGCTACATCACCGATGCCGACCTGAAGCTCCTCGAGCCGCAGGGATTCGAAACCGTCATCCATCAGTCGCCCGCGACGCTGGCCGCCATGAACGAGTGGTGTATCGATACCCACGGTCGCACCGGGTTGACGGCCGCGGTGCAGGCTTCCACCGTCAGTGTGGAGTCGGCAGCGGCGGCGTTGCTGGAGTACATTCAACGGTATGTGCCGCAGCCGCGGACGGGGGTGTTGGCGGGCAACAGCGTGCATGCGGACAAGGCGTTTCTGGCCAAGGGACCGTACCGGAGCGTGTTGGAGTGGTTACATTATCGGATTGTAGACGTGAGCGCACTGAAGGAGATGGCGCGGCGGTGGGGATCGGATGAGTTATTGGCGGCCGTGCCTGCGAAGAAGGAGGTGCATCTGGCGCGGGAGGACATTCTGGAAAGCATCGCAGAAATGCGCTTCTATCGGGAACGGCTGTTTAGATAGCCTCTGGTAGCTTTAGTAGCTCGACTACTAGTACTAGACAAGCTACTAGTAAAAGGGGGAGGTCTGTGGGTTTTAGACCGGCGGGGAAATGAGCTGAGCTGGCAACAATAATAGCTTCTATTTAGGGAGGTTTTTTTTAGGGGGTCAAGAATTATAATTTGTACGGGCGTTTGTACGGAGGGAGGGGTAGAAAATGAGGGGAAGGGAAATTGTTCGAGACAATTGCATGGGAAGATGCATTATGATGAGATGATGAGAACTGATTGATGACCGCCACATCATGACACTGCTAGCTGTTACCACCACCACCACCACCACCAACAAATAAACAAACGAACAACCAACGAAACCAATCCCACCTCATGCATCACCACCACCCATACCACCCATGAACGAACGCAATTGCAATCGGGATTGAAGTGGGGTGTTCTAGTAGAGACTTTGTCTTGCATCGGAGCGGGACCAGAATCAGAACCAGACCCAATCCCAATCCCGCCGCCCGCTGCTGCTCCTCGCCCTGACCCTGCTTTCTCCTGCTTTCTCCTCTCTCTTGCTACAACTTACTTATTTACTCCCTCTGTTCCCCCTCTTCTTCCTTCTCTTCCTTTTCCTCCTCTTCTCAATTTATTCCATTCCTCTTTTCTCTATTTTGTCCCCCATCATTTGAATCGTCAGTGAGCTGTATATATCCCACAGCTCGTGCCTGACCTTTTCTAAATAATATACCCCTCTAGTTTGATTACCCCTCCTCCACGTCATCATGTCTGTCCAGACCGTCTCCATCACCCCATTCTCCGACCAGAAGCCTGGAACGTAAGTGATACCTTCTTCTGCCCCTTTACTGTTCCGAAAATCAGTGAAACTAATAATTTACAGCTCTGGTCTTCGTAAGAAGGTCAAGGTCTTCCAGCAGCCCCACTACTCCGAGTCCTTCATCGCCAGCATCATCCTCTCTATCCCCGAGGGTGCTGAGGGAGCTTTCCTCGTCATTGGTGGTGATGGTCGTTACTACAACACTGAGGTCATACAGAAGATCGCTAAGATCAGTGCTGCCTATGGTGTCAAGAAGCTGCTGGTCGGCCAGAACGGCATCCTCAGTACCCCTGCTGCTAGCAACCTCATCCGCAAGCGTCAAGCTACCGGTGGTATCCTCCTGACTGCCAGTCACAATCCTGGCGGTGAGTTACAAACCCATTCCTGTGAACAAAAACAACCTGTATCAAGCGACTGACAATGTTTACCGTGTAGGTCCCGAGAACGACTTCGGTATCAAGTACAACTTGACCAACGGAGCTCCCGCCCCCGAGTCTGTCACCAACAAAATCTACGAGACCTCCAAGACCCTCAAATCCTACAACTACGTTGACATTCCCGATGTGGACATCTCCTCCATCGGAACCAAGACCTACGGTGAGCTCGAGGTCGAGGTCGTCCACTCCACCTCCGATTACGTCACCATGCTGAAGGAGATCTTCGACTTCGACCTCATCCGCAACTTCCTCCAGACCCACAAGGACTTCAAGGTTCTGTTTGATGGTATGCACGGTGTCACCGGACCCTACGGTGTGGACATCTTTGTCCGCGAGCTGGGTCTACCCGAGAGCAGCGCCATGAACTTCGAGCCCAAGACCGACTTCGGTGGTGGTCACCCCGACCCCAACCTGGTCTACGCTCACGAGCTGGTGGAGCGGGTCGACAAGGAGGGCATCCACTTCGGTGCCGCCAGTGACGGTGACGGTGACCGCAACATGATCTACGGTGCCAACACCTTCGTCTCCCCCGGTGACAGTCTGGCCATCATCGCCCACCACGCCAAGCTGATCCCCTACTTCAAGAACCAAGGCGTGTACGGCCTGGCCCGCTCCATGCCCACCTCCGGAGCCGTCGACCTCGTGGCCAAGGCTCAGGGTCTCCAGAGCTATGAGGTGCCCACCGGCTGGAAGTTCTTCTGCAACCTGTTCGACAACAAGAAGATCTCCATCTGTGGTGAGGAGAGTTTCGGTACGGGCAGCAACCACATCCGCGAGAAGGACGGCCTGTGGGCCATTGTGGCGTGGTTGAACGTCATCGCCGGCGTCGCCCAGCAGAAGCCCAACGAGACCCCCAGCATCGCCTCCATCCAGAACGAGTTCTGGCAGACCTACGGCCGCACCTTCTTCACCCGCTACGACTACGAGAACGTCGACAGCGACGGTGCCAACCAGGTCATCGCCACTCTGGCCAAGTATGTCGACAACAAGGACTCCTTCGTTGGCTCGACTGTCTCCGGCCGCAAGGTCGCCGACGCCGGCAACTTCTCCTACACCGATCTCGACGGCAGCGTTTCCAAGAACCAGGGTCTGTACGTCAAGTTCGACGATGGCAGCCGCTTCGTCGTCCGTCTGTCCGGCACCGGTAGCAGCGGTGCTACCATCCGTCTGTACATTGAAAAGCACGAAAACGATGCTAGCAAGTTCGCCCAGAAGACGGACGAGTACCTCAAGGACAACGTCGCCCTGGCCCTGGACCTTCTCAAGTTCAAGGAGTTCATCGGCCGCGAGGAGCCCGATGTCCGCACTTAGAAACATCTGCACATACCTACTATCTAAATTACTTAGTCTATACGAGCCTACGGAATCAAGCACTTGGTTAATATAGCGATAGCGAAATAATAAATCAGCGCAGTAGCATTTTCTCGTGATCATCATAAGCAGTCGTTAATAATGTTGGAACTAATCAGAAGCCATAAACCATAGCCCGGCTCTTTACCCCCCCTAACCATCAGCAGCATTGAATAAAAATCACCGAGACCCCCGCAACTTCCCCTCCCACCACTCAGCCCACCTCACCACCTTCTCCTCCCGCCTGGCCTCCTCCGCCGCAAACACCACCGCATGACTCCGCACCGCCTCCTCCAACGTACACCCGACAAATCGGCTCTGCGCCTTCTCGGCCGCCCACCCACCATTCACCACCGCGTCCACGGCCGCCACGAACCCGCGCGCCAGCCCATAGTCCCCGCCACCGTGCGCCTTCTCCTCCTCCGGCGGCTGCTTCGGCACGTCGATGACGGTCGTGGCCCCTGTCGCGAACCGGAAGTACTCGATCCGCCGCCCGTCGTACGCCAGCTCGCCCTCGGTGCCGTAGACCCGGCCGCGCCGCTCGCACTGCCGCTCCGTCGGGGCGATCATATGAAACACGGCGGTTTTGGCCGACGCCGTCGCCGACGCCGTCTGCTGCTGACCTGCTTGATCATCCCATTTGATGGTGACGACCTGGTCATCGCAGACGTTGTTGTCGGCTTCGTAGACGCAGTGACCGTAGGAGGGGGGACCGCCTGGTTCGTTCCGGGAGAGGGGGCGGGAGGCGCGGAGACGGGCGCGGAGGTGCGCGGACGCTGCTGCTCTTGCTTCAGAGGTGACGTTTGTGTTTGTGTTTGTGGGGTTGGGGGAAGCTTCCGAAAGAGCAAGGTACGGCGCGACGACGTCCTCGATGTCCGGACACACGATGTTGACGGGCCAGTCGAAGTCGCCGCGCGCCACGTGCCGCTCGTCGTAGATTTTCACGGCGCTGTATTTGCAGTCCCGTTCGGCGGAGCAGGACAGGCAGTTGGTTGCGGCGCCGGCGGCCGGGGGTTTGCGGTGCGCTTGGAACTGGGTGAGTGAGCCGGTGGAGGTGATGGTGCGGGGGTGGTGCGGTTGCGGTTGCGGTTGCGGTGTCGTTGTGTGTGTGCTTGTGCTTGTGTGTGTGCTTGTTTCTGGGGGTGCTGAGAGGAGCCACATGATGAAATCGATGTCGTGGCAGGATTTGGTCAGCAGCGAGCCGTCGCCCGCGGGCGTCTCGCGCCGCCAGTTGCCGCGGACGTAGCTGTGGGCGAAGTGCCACCAGCCCACGGGCTCGCAGTGCTCCAGGGACACGATGTCGCCGATGACGCGGTCGGTGAGGAGCAGGCGCCGGAGGAGGATGTTGTGCGGGCTGTAGCGCAGGACGTGGCCGATGGAGAAGATAGTGGTGACGGTGTGGGGTTGCAGGGCGTGGTAGACGCTGAGGCAGTCGGTCAGGGAGAGGGCGAGCGGCTTCTCGCACAGGATATGTAGGCGCAGAGGAGCGATGGCGTGGATGATCTCCGCGTGCGTCTCGTCGAGGGTGCAGATGAAGACTCCGTCTACCCCTGCTGCTGCCGCGGCTCCAGTAGATGAGGGTTGACGGATGGGATTCGAGGCCAGCTCGCGACGACGGACCTCCCAGGCGAGCCAGTCGCGCCAGTCAGCAAATTCCTGCCCCTCTTGGGGGTGATTGTTGGGGCCCCAGATGTAGTTGCGGCCGAATTGGCGACGTTTGAAGGGATGGGGTTCGGCGACAGCATGGATGATCCCCGCGGTGGAGCTGGTCACCGCCCGCCCATACGCATTTCCCCGCGATCCCGCACCGATGACGAGGAACCGGAGCGGGCGGGGAGAAGGATTGACAGAAGGAAGAGTGGAGGATAAGAGAGGGAGAGCAGGCTCTTTCATTTTGGCTCCGATGGATGGTATGTATGTATGTATGAGTTGGGGAGAGGAGGGGGTCCAGGGAAGTGTATGATTTCTTTATAGTATGAGTAGGACAAATGCTGAGAATACCCGACTGCTGATTGGTCCACGACATCTTATGTCATCTGCCAGCAGAGCAACGATCGATCGACAGCCATTGACAGGTAACTCTAGAAATCTAGATCAGTGGATACCGTCAGATTGTCCATTAATTAGAAATTAATAGGCGAATGTACATTGAGCCCCCCTTCAAATAAGCAGAATAAGAAAGAAATGAATTGGGGTATCCATATAAAGAGAAAACGAAAACAGGCTAGCAAGTAGTGCAGAATCAAGACGTAAAAGACCCAGCATTCCTCCGTCGCGGTCTCCGAATTGGCCGGCAAACAAAGCCTCCCCCCTTCTTTCCTTGCCGGCCAGTCATCACCGAGCTTCCAACGCTCACCCAAGAACCCATGTACAACTTCTCCAGATTTATGTACAGAAACTCAAAAGCATATATGCACCGGGTGGAAGACGACAAAGGCCGTCCACCATTTCCAGGCGAGCGTGGTTCAGATACTTTCCGTGAACCGGCTGCCTCGACTGCCATCGAAACTAGGATGGCTTCGACCTAACGCATCTGGCCGTTTGGGTATGGTCGGCGAGAGAGAACCAGACACCTGCACATGCACGGACGGAATCAT